CAGATGTTTGTGGATTAAAGCAGATGTTCAAAGATAAAAGCAGATCTTTTCGGATATAAGCAGATGTTTGCAGGTGAAATTGGATGAAGCAGACTTTTGCGGAATAAAGTAGATGTTTGCGGATGAAATCAGATGTTTGTGGATTAAAATAGATGTTCGCGGATGAAAGTAGATCTTCACGTATAAAAGCAGATGTTTGCAGGTGAAATCGGATAAAGCAGACGTTTGCGGATTAAAGTAGATGTTTGCGGATAAAATCCGATAAAACCGGGTGAATGCAGATATAAACCCAAATACAGGTATTTGCGGATGAAACCAGATGAAAGCAGACATAGAACTAAATAGATAAAACCCGACGTTCGCGGATAGTATTTATACCCGCAATTGCAGATAAAAACCGACATGCCGGGTAAAATCAGATATGTCGGATGAAAACAGATATAAATGGACATAAAACTAGCTTGGTATTTATCCGCAATCATCCGATATTACCCGTCTTTTTCAGCAGGGTGATGGAGGGCAAGGTTGTTTTAAAATTTGTTTGACGATTTTACCGGAAAATTACTCCTCTGTGTTAAATAAACAGGGCTCCCACACCTCCTAAAATTCATAAAATTCCTAAAATTTGGCTTAAATCTTAAAAACTCCTAAAATTCTCCTAAAATTGCCATTAATCTCCTAAAACTCCTAAAAATTAAATATAAGTAGGCCAACTTGACCGCGTTTAATTAAGGTAGTTGTGCTAAAAAATTTCTTTTTTTAAAAGTAATTTAAAAATATATAAATTTTTGGGTTCTAGTTTATTATTTTTTTTTTTTAAATGATATAGGTATCACAACCTACATTTTTCTTAAAAAACAACAAAATATACCATAAAACAAAATCCATGTAGTAGCTTCTAGACTTCTACAAAATTGCCATATTTCGTTAATTTTCGACAAAAATATACCGTGTTATATATCAAACAAAATGATTTTTAATTTTTTTTAAATGATAGCTAAAATAGTAAACAATCTAAAGAATGTTTTGCTGTATCTTGCACTTTATATTTTTTCTATTATGAGATTTTTTAGTAACAATTAAATTACAATTATTGTTAGTTATTAACTAAACTGTTAATTTTTTTTTTCAAAATATAAATACAAAATCATTTAACTTTGGCCTACTTTTTTAGCCATATCTATCGACGCTTTTTTTTAAATAAAATTAAAGGTGTGGTGAAATTTCTACTTGTGTATATACCTCAGATATATACAAAAGTAGTTATTTTCCTCACTTTTCATTTTATTAAAAAAAACTCGTCAAGCGATTTGGCTAAAAAACTAGTCAATATAACCTATTTGTACAAAAACCCACAAATGTTGAAGATCCTATGAAGCTCAAACGATGTGTTTAAGAACTTATGGAGACGTTACCAAACATTTCGATAAATTTTATTCTCTACCGTAAATGTACCTATGTTTGAGGAAGAAGGTAAGACCTTTATTATTCAAAAATGTATTGTACCAGAATTGCACATTGCCCTTAATTAGCCAAAAAAACTAGGACTTATATAAAAAACTATCAGGGTGACATTTTTGAAGGAAATGCATGCCGAAAGCTTTTAAAGAATTCTGATTGTATTCTCGATATTAAGGTCATCCTTGAAAAAGTTAGCCCTTTACAAATTGTTCCAATAATATCAGCATTAAAGGCAATGAACAAAGTTGTTGAAGATTGTTTTTCAAGTCGCGTTGGTCAGGAACTCAAGAAGAACATTGTCCATTTAAGAAAAACCTTTAAAGCCACTGGAATTTTGGAAACTTTAAAAATCCACATCGCTCTTAATCATCTTAAAGAATGCCTAAGCTATCTTAACCATCGGGGTCTTGGTCAGAACAGGCAGGAGAATCTCTTCATCGAGAGTTTTTAAAATCATGGAGCAGATATAAATTAAACAATGTTAACGACCTTAGATACGGTGATTTTTTGTTAAAAGCAGTTGTAGAGTTTTGTTCTAGACATTTGTAATTGTAAGTTGTGTTAAATTTTATTATTTTTTTATTAAATTAAACGATTCTGAACCCTTAATTTAATTTCTTATTTATCAAAGGTACTATAATATCATCAGCATTAATAAAGAGATAGCAAGAAAATAATATTCATATTTAAAATAAATTATAAGGTTTATATCCGATCAGCTTTGATTTAACCGAACTTTGTTTTGGTGCTGCCAAATAGTCCACAATAAGTATCCATAAAGAGATTTCGTTGACATTTTTAAAATACCTATTTTTTTTTCTAAGGGACACTGTGTTTACAGGCATTTTTTTCCCTCAAAAAATTTCTACTGATTTTGAAAATAGTCTTAAAAAATGATACCCGTTTCTCTTTTCAGATCACGTCATATTTTTTTAGTCCAATAAAATGTTATCCACGGTATTCGGCACATATTCGGCTTCAATAACAATTATACTGTATATGAGTATGAGTATGGGATTAGTATGGGATTAATAAGAAAATAGAGAATTAAATATCTGTATATGTTAATAATATGTTAATAATAATTAAAAATTAAATGACGTGATTTCATTGTTTAACCTCTATTTTCAAAATCTGTTAAAATTTTTCATGGGAGGAAAGTCGTTTGACTGTGTAATATTATAATATATATTAGTCCAGGAAACAAAGATTGTAGAAGGAAAACTTGATGGTAGTCGGGTTTTATTTTTTTTATGTAGAGTCAGGGTGCTGATAATGAATCGAGAATATTCCCCAAAAATTTCTTTCCGCGTCCCGTAATATCATCCCCCAAAATGGGAATGTTTTTGCTTTTTGGCTCATAACTCGCTAACCGTGCATTTTTTCAGAATTTGACCAATACTTTTGATTATGTACTAAATAAGACACACGTTAAACCCCATTGCGCACCTATATGATGTGCCCTTTTGCTATGCGCAGTGTGCAAAGTTGAGCGTTGCTTTCAAAATCACTTTTTTGTTTTTTTATTATAGCCCAATTTTAAAAGTAATCGATCCCAAACCTTACGCTAATCAAACATAACCGAATGGACGATTTTTAGAGGTACTAGACTTTTTTTAAAAGTTACTGCTTTTCAATGTACAGGGGGTTCTTTTTAAAAAAAAAAAAACATTTTTTATTTCCCAAACGGCTTTAATGAGCCAGTTCGTTCTACCCTAGATTTTTAATAATAATAATAATAATCTTTATTAACGCCAAATTAGCAGTTACAATAATACAAGAAAAAAATATATACATAGTACAAATATAAATATAAATACTCTAAATATACATAATAAATATAAACAATTAAATAATATATATATACACACATATACAAGGTGTCCCTAAACTTATTGGCATAAATTTAGGAAAAAAATGAGCAAGTCAAAATAAGACGAAAACCCAAATAAATATTTTTCCTAATTACTTATGTTTCCAAGATACAGGGTGATAAAGTGTTACTTATCATATCAGTTTTTTAATATAAACTCTACTATGGTAGTCTTGGAAAGGTGATATTTTGCGAATAGTCACTTACTACCAAAACACATATTCACACATAATTATAATTGTTTGAGTGTCGTAGAAACGGGGGTTGCTTTAAGCTTATTGTCCCATAGAAACTTTGAGGTTAGGTTTTTATGCCATTTGATGCAATTTTTCGATTACACAGTTCGGCTACCATTAAAAAGGTGCACCTCTCAAACTTCGATAAAATAAACCGTTTCCGAGATATTCGAGATTACAATAATTGTTACATCGCATTATTTAAAAGGTTTAAAAGGTATATGATTACAAATTTTATTTTTTAATTGAAAAAACTAAAAAGAGCATTCCATGAGCCTCGGGACTTTTTGCCCTGACCGTCACATTAAAAAAATTGTAGTTTTTTACAATTAAAAAATTTGTTATTATACCTTCTAGTCAATTAATGCGATATAACCACAGACCTACAAACAAGTTTGTAGGTCTGTGGATATAACAATTATTGTAATCTTGAATATCTCGAAAACGGTTTATTTTATCGAAGTTTGAGAGGTACACCTTTTTAATAGTAGCCGAACTGAGTAATCGAAAAATTGCATCAAATGGTATAAAAACCTAACCTCAAAGTTTGTATAGGACAATAAGCTTAATCAACCCCTGTTTCTACGACATTGTGTTCACTCGAACAATTGTAATTATGTGTGAATATGTGTTTTGGTAGTAAGTGACTGTTCGCAAAATATCACCTTTCCAAGTCCACCATAGTAGAAGTTATATTAAAAAACTGATATGTTAAGTATTACTTTATCATCCTGTATCTTTTAAACATACGTAATTAGGAAAAATATTTATTTAGATTTTCGTCTTATTTTGACTTGCTTAATCTGCTCCTAAATTTATGCCACTAAGTTTAGGGACACCTTTTATATAAACTTATCCTCTTAACGAATCCGTAGTTTTTTTTAAATTATTTCAAGTGCCCCACAAAAATTAAAGTTTTGAATAAAGAACCCCCTGTACATTGAAAAGCAGTAACTTTTGAAAAAAGTCTAGTACCTCAAAAAATCGTCCATTCGGTTATGTTTGATTACCGTAAGGTTTGGGATCGATTACTTTTAAAATTGGGCTATAGTAAAAAAATGAACAAAAAGTGATTTTGAAAGCAACGCTCAACTTTGCACACTGCGCATAGCAAAAGGGCAAATCATATAGGTGCGCAATGGGGTTTAACGTTTGCCTTATTTAGTACATATTCAAAAGTATTGGAGGTGAAATTCTGAAAAAATGCACGGTTAGCGAGTTATGAGCCAAAAAGCAAAAAAACTCCCCTTTCGAGGGATGAAATTATGGGGCGCGGAAATAAATTTTTGGGAAATATTTTTGATTTATTATCAGCACCCCCGACTACCATCGAGTTTTCCTTATACAAGCTTTGTTTCCTGGACTATATCTTTATTTAGTATTAAAGTTATTGATTTTTTGCAAACAATTTATTGATGTACTTATTCTAGGCATTCGATCAATGCAAGACCATGGCCCAAAAAAAACAATGGCACCCAAAAGAAAAAAGGCAAGCAACAGAAAAAGGACTTTCAAGAAACCAAGAGACAACGAGCATTTGGCCGACGTTTTGGAAACATATGAAGACAACACTCTGACACAAAAAAATACAGTTTAAGAAATTTTTGTACATTATTTTTTGTAAGGTAAGATAATAAAGTTTTAATTATAATATTTTTTTAATTTAAACAACGTTTGCATTTAAAAATAATCAAAAACTGAGTGGGATAGAAAATGATAGTGATATGAACTCTTCCTGTATTTAATCATTGTGAAAAAATCAACATTCTTGAATTAATTGTTAAATATGTTAGTAAGGTATTTTGTGTTATTATTTATTTTTAAGTTCAGTGAAGCTGATGAAAGATCTCACAGAGTTAGAAGGTAATAACCACATTTGTAAAAATTGTGATATCTAACAATATAACATTTTTTCATAGAATTGTAGGAGGTATACCTGCAGATAAGCCCCCAGAAGATGATCCTGTGGTATTCACAAGATTTGCGGAAAAAAGCGCAAAAATTATAGGTACAAGAAGTTCGCAACAATATGTTTTTCGCGGTATAAGATATGCACACCCGCCCATTGGTTCAAACAGATTTGTTGTAAGTAAAAAGTAGCAAAACATTATGTAATTCTTTACAATTTATTGTAGATGTAATATTATATAATATAATAATTGTTATTATACGTTGTGTGACACAACTTGTGTCCAAAATTATCTTCTCACCATTGCTAACTCCTCTATTATTGAAACTACAAAGTCAGTTAAATTAGCAAATTGGTGGCCTTTTTTCTTCTGAAATGGTGAAAATAGAAAATCAATTGAACGTCGGGTTTTCGAAATGTTCACAAAAATAAAAAAATTAAATGGTACACTAGGGTGTTTCATTTGAAACGAAATTTTTTTTTTCTTGCTGACACATAAAAATTTTGTTTTTTAGGTTGAAAAAAAAATTCCCTAAAAATTTGAGCCCTTAACTTTTATTCTAAGTACTTCCTTTATAGCTCTGTAGTTTTTCCATATAAAAAGCATGTATTTTTAATCATTTTTACTTTAAATTTCTATATTTTGGCCGGGTTTTGAATTATAATTTTTATCACCATAATTTCCTGCATAGTATTCACGGTTTTTGAAGGGCCCTTCATCAATTTTGTTTTTTATTTATTTACGTTGATTGTAGTAGCTCCAAAAGTCGTTTTTTTCACTTTATTTCACATATTTTTGAGAAAATCGAGCGAATGACTGGTTTTACCAAAAAAGTTCAAATAAAAAAGTTGTAGGAAATTTAATTTTTGACAAAAAAGGTTTTAACGTTCATATCACTAAAGTGCTTTGTTTAAGAGATATAAGCAATTCAATAACCAAAAACAAAGAAAAAATAGGTTTTATTGGAATTTATGTATACATGTATGTAATTTGATTCAACAACTATATATTGCTTATATCTCTTAAACAAAGCACTTTAGTGATATAAACGTAAGAACCTTTTTTGTCAAAAATTAAATTTTCTACAACTTTTTTGTTTGAACTTTTTCGGTAAAACCAGTCATTCGCTAGATTTTCTCAAAAATATGTGAAATAAAGTGAAAAAACGACTTTTGGAGCTACTACCATCAACGTAAATAAATCAAAAACAAAATTGATGCAGGGCCTTTCAAAAACCGTGAATACTATGCAGAAAATTATCGTGATAAAAATTATAATTTAAAACCCGGCCAACATATAGAAATTTAAAGTAAAAATGATTAAAAATACATGCTTTTTATATGGAAAAACTACAAAATTAAAAAGGAAGTACTTAGAATCAAAATTATGGGCTCAAATTTTCAGGGAATTTTTTTTTCAACCTAAAAAACAAAATTTTCATGTGTTTTGTTTTAAATGAAACACCCTGTATATTTTTACAAATTTTAAAAAACAATTTAATTTGGGACAAAAAATATTATTGTATAAGGACCCTAAACTTAAAAATAAACGATTAATAAGCACTTGAACTTTCTGATTGTTGTTAAAATAATTTGGTTATTTCAATAACCATCAAAAACTTCAAGTGCTTATTTATTATTAATTAATTAATGAGATAAAAATCTTAATCTGGTCCTTTGAACTTATTAGCCTAGGTAATATTGTAATTTTAAATTTGTTTTATTTTGTGCTAATTGGTTCAATAAATGTATTATTATTATTATTATTATTATTAAATGTTTATTTTAAATGTAGGGTAGTAATAATAATTTTTTCTACCCATATTAAGGAATATGACCATTCTAACATAACTTTTTAATGTGGAATTACATAATATGTATATATTATATTCCTTAAAGTGTTACAGAATGAATAATTCATTATTCTACCATCGGAAGACGGAATACACAATGGTGACTTTTAGACAGATCTAACCTCACTTTCTTCCAATTAAATTAATTTTCTATGGTATTTTTTGGAAACGTAGAAAAAGTCATTCCATGAAATTTCACCTAATGACAAAAGCTCGACATCTCAGGTTTTACAAAAAGTTTCAGGGTTTGAAGATCAATGCTTGGGATGAACTAAAATCACAATAATATTATTTTATTTAAACACCCTAAGAAATTAGGCAAGGCCATGTTGACTGGTTTGCATAAAATATTACCAAATCGGTTTCTAAGAAATCCTTTTATAACTTTTTTGTTTATTAATATTTTTTTCGCGTAATATTTTGTTTTAACCATAAAACAATGTACTTTTTAAAATTACTTTACTAAAATTATACAAATGTTTTTTTAGTGCTAAATTCACGCTTTTTTTAGAAAATGAATTTTCTACCATTGATATTATGTAGTAGGCTATGGAAATTTGATTTGGTGTATATTTTTATTTAAATTACTTATAAATCTCGATTAAAATATAAAATGCAAAATTATAAAAAAGTACCCAAATTTTAGGAAATACCATTTTTATTATAAAATATCCCATTTTTGGCCAAAAAATGCATTTTTTCGTCCAGAGGGGCTGAACAAAAATTGTTCAAAATTTTACAGAATGTTGTCCTCAATATAACCTAAAAACTGTAAATATTGTGTATTTGCCTTGCTCAGAAGATACAGCCGTATGCAAATAAAAAGCGTACAGCCTTGGAATGCACTTGTCAAATATGGTGAGTTAGGTTATAAAAAATTCAGTGCCGTAGATGTAAACCAGCCGTCAGTTTGACAGCTATTTGACAGCCAAGATACGGATTGACCACCCGTCTTCAATTTTTGTAATTAGTTTTTTCAAATTCAGATAACTGACAAGGCATAAAGCTTAATTTTCATGTATCCGTTTGTCCGTTATCCGTTTGTCCGTTAATCGTCCGATAAGAAATGTTCTGATTTTTATGCATCCGTTTTTTTAATGACGTTTAACGAATTGATTTGACGACAAATAGAAATTAAGTGTCAGTATATTCACTTTACTAAATTTACCTAATGCTTCCCGTGATATTCATACGAACAGCATGTCGTGATTTTCACAAATTTTATTCATACTGATATCATACGGAAATCACCGCGTGATAAATAAAAATCATAAGAACGTCACATCGTGATTTTCACAAATGTTATTCATACGGACATCATCCGGATGTCACTGCGTGAGAAATGAAAATAATGTCGTGATATTTTATGCCACCGCTGTTTGCGATTGACCAATGGCCTAAAAAATCATGTCGTGATTTTTTTATGCCAACGGTGTTTGGATAATAATTTTTGCGCCACGTTCGTACACCAAGAGAAAAATTATGTTGAATCAACAGTTTTTGCGGTTAAAAACATTTAATATTTTCTTGGATTTAAATTTACTATACAGTGCTTGCAAATCCAAGTCCGACCGCGTTGGGAAGGATGGTTGTTCAATACCCGCGTGAAAAGAATAAGGATAGAATGCCAAACATAATTTGATTGGTCAGAGCGTCAGGCGTGCGTATTGTATTTGCCTTCTGTTTGGCGTTCTATCCTTGTTATTTTCATGCGTCCTTCCCAAACCGGTCGGACTTGGATTTGCAAGCACTGTATATAGTTAATTTAAATCCATGAAAATATTGAATGTTAAACTGTTGATTTAATTGTTAACATACTTTTTCTTTCAATGTACGAATGTGTCGCAAAAATGAATATCCAAACACCGATGGCATAAAAAATCATGTCGTAATTTTTTATCATCGGTGTTTGGTCATAAAAAATCACGACATGATTTTTTATGCCATCGGTGTTTGGTCATAAAAAATAACGACATGATTTTTTATGCCATCGGTGTTTGGATATTCATTTTTGCGACACAGTCGTACATTGAAAGAAAAAGTATGTTAACAATTGAATCAACAGTTTAACACTTTTTAAACGCAAAAACTGTTGATGCAACATAATTTTTCTCTTAGTGTACGAACGAGCTCAAAAATGATTATACAAACGCAAACGGTGAATTCACCGTAAACTCAAGGCCGTAAGGGCAGTTAAGACCTTACTTTAAGTTTTATAGTAGTTACTCGGTTAGTTTTATAAAGGTTTTTAAAGGTATTTTCTACTATCAGTAGCGTACTCTAGATTATTGTAGTTACTAAGAAAACAGTAATAAACTAGGCCATTTAAGGTCTACGCATTTATAATTAGCATAAACAGTTACTCCCGACTATTTTATAGGACATCAAGTTATATACACCCCGGACAACATTCGTGATAATCATACGAACATCACGTCGTGATTTTCACAAATTTTATTCATACTGATATCATACGGAAGTCACCGCGTGATAAATGAAAATCATACGAACGTCACGACGTGATTTTCACAAATTTTATTCATACGGACATCATCCGTATGTCACAGCGTGAGAAATAAAAATCATGTCGTGATTTTTTATGCCATCGCTGTTTGCGATTGACCAATGGCACAAAAAATCATGTCGTGATTTTTTATGCCAACAGTGTTTGGATAATCATTTTTGCGCCACGTTCGTACACTAAGAGAAAAATTATGTTGAATCAACAGTTTTTGCGGTTAAATACATTTAATATTTTCTTGGATTTAAATTAACTATATATATTTAATTTAAATCCAAGAAAATATTGAATGTTAAACTGTTAATTTAATTGTTAACATACTTTTTCTTTCAATGTACGAATGTGTCGCAAAAATGAATATCCAAACACCGATGGCATAAAAAATCATGTCGTGATTTTTTATGACCAAACACCAATGGCATAAAAATACATGTCGTGATTTTTTATGCCATCGGTGTTTGGACGTTTATTTTTGCACCACATTCGTACATTGAGAGAAAAAGAATACCTACATTATGTATTCAATATATATGTAGGCTACATATATATTGAATCAACAGTTTTTGTGGTTAAATAAAAACATTCAATATTTTTTTGAATTTAAATTAATAGTTAAATTACATTCAAGAAAATATTAAATGTATTTAACCGCAAAAACTGTTCATTCAATTGTTAACATACTTTTTCTTTCAATGTACGAATGTGGTGCAAAAATAAATATCCAAAGATGTCGGTGCACCGATGGCATAAAAAAATCATGTCGTGATTTTTTATGCCCAAACACCGATAGCATAAAAAATCATGTCGTGATTTTTTATGCCATCGGTGTTTGGATATTTATTTTTGCGCCACATTTGTACATTGAGAGAAAAAGAATACCTACATACAAAAAAGTTTATATACAAAAGTGCTCTTTTAGTTCCACCCTTACTTCTTAAGAAGTCCCATAAGCCAACTGAATGCCTTGTGCGGGTTAGGGGTAGGAACGGACCGCGGGCTTAAAGTCCCCTCCGAAGGACTATTACACACGACCTCCGGCTTGTAGTCAGCAGCACTAACCACTCGTCCACCGTCGGCGATTAATAGTTTATTTACATTCAAAAAAATATTAAATGTATTTAACCGCAAAAACTGTTAATTCAATTGTTAACATACTTTTTCTCACACTGTACGAATGTGGCGCAAAAATAAATATCCAAAGATGTCCGATGGCATAAAAAATCATGTCGTGATTTTTTATGCCCAAGCAACGATAGCATAAAAAATCATGTCGTGATGTTTTATGCCATCGGTGTTTGGATATTTATTTTTGCACCACATTAGGGGAAAAAGTATACTTACATATAATATATATTCAATATATTATATTGAATCAACAGTTTTTGTGGTTAAATACATTCAATAATTTTTTGGAATTAAATTAATAGTTAATTTACATCCAAGAAAATATTAAATGTATTTAACCGCAAAAACTGTTAATTCAATTGTTAACATACTTTTTCTCACAATGTACGAATGTGGCGCAAAAATAAATATCCTAACATGTCCGATGGCATAAAAAATCATGTCGTGATTTTTTATGCCCAAACACCGATAGCATATAAAATCATGTTGTGATTTTTTATGCCAACGGTGTTTTGATAATGATTTTTGCGCCACGTTCGTACACTAAGAGAAAAGTACTGTTGAATCAACAGGTAACAAACTAGGTTTTAAATTCGCAGTTCGCAGGGCTATTACGCATGCGCAAATTTTGCAAAAATCACACCGTGAGTTCTACATGATATCACTGTGATGAAGCATGTGTATGCACTCAGGATATCACGGCGTGACAAAAAAAATCACGTTGTGATATCATCATGATTTCACCAGGAAATCCCGATTGTTGTCCGGGACACCTTGCTGAAAATGACGGATGATTGCAGATATAAATTATTCGTCAAATCGGATAAAAGCAGATGATTGCGGGTCTAAATTCTTCGTCGAAGCCGGATAAAAGCAGATAAAAGCGGGCAAAAATATCATCTGATAACATCTGCTTTTGTCCGCATCGCTATATCCGCGAACACCCGGTTGGTTTTGTTTTATGTCCAGTTAGTGCACCCCCGCAATCATCTGTTTGTCTGAATTTGTCCGGAATCATCTGCAAACGTCTGCTTACGTCTGGTTTTATCCGCGATTACCTGTATTTTTTTTGTCTATTTTTGTCTGGTTTTATCTGCAAACGTCTGGTTTTATCCGCGAGCATATGCTTTTACCCGCAAACGTCTGCCTAGTCCAATTTCACCCGCCAACATATGCTTTTATCCGCCAACATCTGCTTTTATCCGCGACCATCTGCTTTCATCCGCGAACATCTGCTTTTACCCGCGAACATCTGCTTTTACCCGCGAACGTCTGCTTTTATACGGTTTCACCCGCAAACATGCTTTTATATGCGAACGCCTGATATCATCCGGTTAGTGCACCCCCGCATTCACCCGCAAACATCTGCTTTTATCCGCGAACATCTGCAGTCTCCCGCGAACAACTGATTTTGTCCATCAACATCTGCTTTTATCCGCGAACATCTGATTTCATCTGCGAACATATGCAGTCACCCGCGAACAACTGCTTTTATCCGCGAACATCTGCAATCACCCGCGAACATCTGCAATCACCCGCGAACATCTGCTTTCATCCGCAAACGTCTGGTTTTATCCGCAAACATCTGCTTTCATACGGTTTCACCCGCAAACATGCTTTTATTTGCGAACGCCTGATTTCATCCGGTTAGTGCACCCCCGCAAACATCTGCTTTTATCCGCGAACATCTGCTTTTATCCGCAAACATCTCATTTTATCCGCAGATGTTTGCGGATAAAATAAGATGTTTGCGGATAAAAGCAGATGTTGGCGGATAAAAGCAGATGTTTTCGTATAAAATCAGATGTTTTCGGGTAAAAGCAGATGTTTGCCGATAAAAGCAGATGATTGCGGATAAAAGCATATGTTTGCGGATAAAATCAGATGTTTGCGAATAAAAGCAGATGTTTGCAGATTAAAATAGATGTTTGCGGATAAAAGCAGATGTTTGGAGATTAAAATAGATGTTTGCGAATAAAAGCAGATATTTGCGGATAGAATCAGATGTTTGCGGATTAAAACAGATGTTTTCGGATTAAAGGAGGCGTTCGCGGATAAATGCAGATGTTTGCGGATAAAAGCAGAAGTTTACGAATTAAAGCAGACGTTCACAGATCAAAGGTGATCTTCGCGGATATAAGCAGATGTTTTCAGGTGTAATCGGATGAATCAGACTTTTGCGGACTAAATTAGATGTTTGCGGATTAAAACAGATGTTTCAAAGATAAAACCAGATCTTTGCGAATATAAGCAGATGTTTGCAGGTGAAATCGGATGAAGCAGACTTTTGCATACTAAAGTAGATGTTTGCGGATGAAATCAGATGTTTGTGGATTAAAATAGATGTTCGCGGATTAAAGTAGATCTTCACGTATAAAAGCAAATGTTTGCAGGTGAAATCGGATAAAGCAGACGTTTGCGGATTAAAGTAGATGTTTGCGGATAAAATCAGATAAAACCGGGTGAATGCAGATATAAACCCAAATACAGGTATTTGCAGATGAAACCAGATGAAAGCAGACATAGAACTAAATAGATAAAACCCGACGTTCGCGGATAATATTTATACCCGCAATTGCAGATAAAAACCGACATGCCGGGTAAAATCAGATACCTATGTCGGATGAAAACAGTTATAAATGGACATAAAACTAGCTTGTTTTTTTATCCGCAATCATCCGATATTAACCGTCTTTTTCAGCAGGGCATTAGTGATGATTACCTTCCTAAACCTAATATAAAACTAAAAATGTTACTTAGGATGGTCTTAGTTAAAAATATTTTTTATATGTGGAGAAGTATGTTTATTCCGTCATCCGGTGATAGAATAATTCATTCTGTAATACTAATATATATAATTCCACATTAAATAGTGATATTCAGGCCAATTCACTAACATAAGTCCTTAACGTTAAGTGGTTATCGACTAATCCAGCCAACGAGGTCGATTAAATATAACGATAACCACTAATTTGAGTGGCTAACGATAACAACTCATGTTAGTGAATTGGCCTGATTAAAACGGTCATATTCCGTAATAGGAGTATTTTCAGAAAATAGGACAAAATTAGCTTGACACTGACAGAAAATTAACCTTAATTATTTCTATCTAAGTCACGTGGTGGGACTTTGATTTGTGGAGCATAGTACTTATTTAGTGTATTGTATGTATTTTTAAGTTTTTGTATTGATATTAAATTTCTTAACCAAGAAAGGCCGCAAACAAGCAAGGCTTTAAAGTTTGTTTTTCTTGGATCTTCGTAAAATAATAAACACCTTAGATAGATCTATCTATCTAATGGCGAAAGTGACGATTAGCGCGTTTATTGGCCGCTATAGCGAGCCGGCCGTGCGAAGCACATTATTTTTTGATTCTTGATTATCACGCCTTGATCTCCCCCTCACCGTAAAAAGCGTTTTCCCGCTTACAAATATATTACTATATTCAATATAGTACCTATGTACCTAGGTAGCTATGTACCGTATTGTGTTTATTTAAATGTAAAAATTTTTTTATGCCAAGCGGCTTAATTACTGTTTATTAAATAAAACTTTTGATAGTATTTATACTTCTGCTTCCGCAAAAATTTACTATTGACAATTGTTGCCGCTTCCGGTGCATTGCTGGTGTGCTGTGGAAAAGACCCTACCCTGACTGGTTTATAATAAACCAGTTATTGCTTTCTATACAGAGATCATTTTCTATGGAAAGTAAAGTCTCAAATATCAAGAAATACCTCCCTGATTTAAAAATACGAGTATTAGGTTTTTGAAGTCTATAATATTCTTTAAGCAAGACAAATGTGCCTGTGTGGCATTATTTAAAAGAAAAATGTATTTTCTTTAAAACAAGGTTATAGCTAGGAATTTACTTTTTTAATAATTATTCATTTAATTATTAAACAGTTACAAGTCAAAAGTCACATATTTGTGTGTTAATTAGTGGCTTTTTACGTTTGATTTATTATTATTTTTAATTGTTTTGTGTTAGAGACCGAGAGAAAAATTTCTGGAAGGTGAAATAAACGCTACTCAACTTCCACCACCCTGCTTACAGCCAATGCCTGGTCAAAACAAAGTTGTGGGAAGTGAAGATTGTTTGTTTTTGAATATTTTTACACCTACTTTGCCTACAGGAACTGAAGGTATACCAAATTATAATAAATAGTAAACAATTTGTTGGGATTTATGTTACTTTCAAAATTATTGCAGGTTTGCCAGTGGTTGTTTGGATACATGGTGGTGGTTTTAGATACGGTTCTGCTTCACAATATGGGGTAAAACACCCTTAACATAGTGAAACTTCCACTTAATATTTGTTTTCTTAGGTAAATCATTTGGTAGGCAAGCAGCTGGTGGTGGTCACGATACAGTACAGACTTGGTTCGCTGGGATTTTTGAGTTCGGGTTCGCAAGATTTACCCGGAAATGCTGCCCTCTGGGACATGGCGCTTGCTACCCAGTGGGTTCGTAATTATATCGGGTTTTTTGGTGGTAATCCTCATCGAATCGTTGTTATGGGCCATGGAACTGGTGCCAGCAGCACTCTACTTGTTACGCTTTCTAATATAGCAAAAGGTAAGTCAAAGATTGAACTTTTTTTTTTAACTCGAATTGGGGTTTAAATATGGGCGTCCTACCTAATTTTATAGAACTTCTTTACTAAAAAAATCTTTTAAAGGTATTTCTGGGGTGGTAGCTATGTCAGGTACCGCAGTATCACATTGGGCTACTGATAATACACCACGAAATACTGCTTTAGAAGTTGCTACCCATAATGGTTGTCCCACAGCATCTACCTTAATAATGATCAAATGTTTACAAAATACACCACCTGAAAGTATTATACAAGTAAGTGATTTTAGATTTATTTCTCCAATAAAATCTATAAAAATTGACAAATAGGGTGACTCAATGATAGAATTCCAAAGACTCCGAAACCAAGGATTTGTGTCGGGCCTAAATGGGCAGTTGTCAGCCGCTCCTGTAAGAGAAGGGTACCATGATGGAAGATCTTTACCGCCATTGGTTGAAGACGATCCAATCAACGATCTAAAAAGCCAAAAGAACCCTGATATACCGCTATTAACTGGAATCACCAAACATGAAACTAGCAGAGCAGTACATGGTATTTTATTTATTCTTATAGAAAAATTTAACATATTTTAAGAATATTTGTTTTACATAGGTCAATACAAAGACGAGGTTTTGGAGAAACTTAAGACGATTCCGAACTTTTTGGATAAAGTTTTGATTAAAAATCTTCAAGGTTTTCTAGTGAGAGGATCTAATAAAAACCAAACTGGTACAAGTAAGAATAATCTGTTTGGAATATTAGGGGGAGTCGGGGATTCTTTATTGAATTTCAGAAATTATATTCAAGTAAAAAAAAACGATCTTAAGGAAGGATTGTCAAAAATATCGGAAGCAACAAGTAAGCATAGATTAAAGAGTGGGAGGAGAAGAACATGCACCATCTTTCCACTATTAAATCTAAGGTTAAACTATTTTTTAGGTGATGCTTTATTTAATGTTCCTGCATTTTTAACTGCCGGACTTTGGTCTCAAAAAGGTTCCCCAACTTATTTGTATAGTTTTGAACATGCTGGAAAAATGAAGAAAGGCTATAGTTTCCTAAAAGGCATGCCAATTGTTGGAAATGGAACTATGAGTAAATATTTGTATTTAATAATAGACATGCTTAATCAAAAAATAATAATTTTATCATATGTTAATATTATTAATAATATGAAAATTATGGAGTAAACATGCAAAAGCCGATAAATCCATTTTAACTTATTCTGAGATATTGGCCAAAATGTGTACAGCCAAGTCCCCCAAATATTTAAAAACTATTAAAAGGGGTTGTTGCTTTTGCTGGGTTGTCTCTGTTTCGGGTTTTCCTTAAAATGCTAACCCTATTGTAAATGACCAATATAATCCAATAAAAAATAAGTAATTGGTTTGAAATGTGTTTTGGTGCTTTGAATCACCAATTCATTCCAGTTGAATTCCTATTGGTAATTTCCAATGAAGTCAGTGGCTTGGATTGGGAAATGCCAATCCATGCCTATGCTTGTCTCTATTGGCTAAATCCAATAGAAATGCACATTGGTAATTCATAGCGCCAAACCCATTCCAACCAATTAAAACCAATTATTTTTTTAAAATTTGGATTAGAAAATACCTACCAGTTTATTTTTAATTCAAAAATAATTTTAGATCCCAGAAGGATAACCGGGTTCACAGGAGAGACAAAAAATTTATTGTTACTGAGTAATTTTATTTCTTTATTTTTTTTGCGATATTTATGTGTATTGATACATAAGTATAACTTACTATCACAAAAAAAGTAATAAAAAATAAATAAAATTACTCGGTTATAATAATTTTTTTGTCTTTCTTGCAAAGGATGTTTGTAGGCATGGTCGGAGTCAATATTGTTTATGTCAAATTTTTTTTATTTTGTCCGCTGTGACAACCATTCTTACGCCATCGTCCCTAAACCTTACACATATAAGCATTTTTTTAATATATAAGTACCTACACTACTAACACTAGGCACTTAACACATAAATCGACTAATAAAAAAAACTGCTAATAAATGGCGTCCAAAGACTTGTTATTTTTTGTTGTTTTTTCTGTATGATGGCGTCTCAACCTCGTTGATTTTGCGCAGCTACACGAGAGCCCTCTTGCGATATTTGTATTGTATTGGGAATAACCAATTAGCAGATTTTTCGAATCTTACACTGGGAATGCCCAATTGAATTCAATTGGAAATTACCTATAGGTAGCTTTATCCAATCGAAACCAATAAAAACCATTAGAATCCTAATTGGACTTTTCCATCATGGAAAATACCAGTAAAAACCAATTTCTGTTTTAAATCACTCCCGATTGTTTTATTATTTTTAATGTGCCTTCAACAGGCACCAGGCCCAATTGAATCCAGTAAGTCCAATTCAGACCCATTGATACCAACCAATCAGGGCCGGCGTTAGCTTATTAGAGGCCAGGTGCAAAAGAAAAATGCGGGGCTTGAACTAAAAATTTACTCCTGAAAATTAACATAGCACTTAGCGGCAATAAACCAATAAAACATCAAACGAAAAACCAATTGAAGGGATTAGAGCTGAAACCGCCCAAGTGCATTTTGAAGTCAAAATTGTTTAAGCGTGTTACCGGATAGTAGAAAATTTTGACTTAAAAATGCACTTGGGTGGTTCAGCTTTTCCCTTCAATTAATATAGAAATTAACGTTTAAGAAAAAATCACACATAATTTTTCCCTGCTTTAGCGGAAGCTCTTTTCCAACATCCTCTATTGACAATGTAGCCAAACCCACTAGTCGTTCTTGGCACATACCTTGTTGATCTTAAATATTTATTTATTAATTTTAATTTTGAAAAACTCTTTTCCCGGCGTAATAATAACGGATACAGGCAACTTCAAATACACATTTAGCAACATTGAACTGAATGATAACACAGTACAACACGATTTCCCTCCCATGAAAAATTTTAGCAGATTTTGAAAATAGAGGTAAAAAAAACGTACCCGTGTCTCACAGTTTCACGAGATCACGTCATAAAAAAATTTTAAGCCGTCATTCCTATTATTTATGCTTATACAGATTGTACATTTTTTACTCGGTTAAAAATATTTTTTTTTGTAAATATTGTATGTTTTTACACAATACAAAAAACAAATATAAAAAAGTTCATATTTTGATTTTTTTTAAATAATTTTTTTTTATTTTTTTTTTAATGAAACACATTTTTGTATTTATCTTATATTCAATACATGTTGGAATAAAATCTTGGTCGTTTAGTTTGACGATTATACAGCTCGTTCAGACTAAAACCTTACCTGCTCGACCTTTCGTCATGTCGTTTATCACACAAGCAACTGTGACGCGCCTTGGAGGGAGGCGAGGCCACGCCCCATATATATATATAGATATATTCGGTTTTATTCTGAACAGGCTGTATATTGCTTCAGAATCTCGAACAATTGACCAGCAATATTCACCCAGCAAATGCCTGACGTCTTTTCCCTTGAAGCGTTTTTCAATTGTTAAAATGTCTTGGTGAAAACGTTCGCCATGTTCGTCACTAAAATCGCCCAAATTTGGTGGAAAATAGTCCAAATGAGCATGGAGAAAATGTATTTTCAGTGACATATGTACTTTCATGTCCTGTGTTATAAAATGTACTTTATAACCCGAACTACAGGGAATAAATTCAGATTCCATCTCGGAAAAAATGGTTGTACTGGGTGTTAAAGGTCTTTTACTTTTATCCTCACATATGTTTTCTGAAGCAGCAGTTGGATAATCTTCAGATCGCACTCTTGCGAGAATGACGGATTCTACATCGGCGTAATCAATTTTCTCTCTAGAATTGTACCGAAATCCAAAACTTTTTAATTTTGACATACAGAAATAACACTGGTCAGATGCGTGTTCGGTACGTGGCGACGGGTCGAAGCCAAATTGTTGGTGCAATATATTTCATACTGTGTGTTTTATCTTGCAATCCATGCAAACAACGGTAACAATAATCGCATAAAACCTCTGGTACATACCGTAAGTTTGGTATATACGTCACCAAAAAATAGTCTTCAAAAGCTGTTACTACACTTTTTGTAATATTTCGCATATGGCTTGGAGGTGCAAATAAACCATATACATAACAAAAATTATTTCGATTCGGACACTGCATTTTTACTTTGATTTCAAATGGATGGTTAACTCAACAATCAAAATTAATATGAAAAATTTATCGATTTATCGCTGCAATAATGTTTTTATTTAACATTTAAAAAAAAAGTATTACCCTCGTATAAAGATTGTTTTGAAAACAATGCTTTTTATGTATAAATGCCGCAGATGTGTAAATTTTTTGTTTTTTTGCTGTTTCAATTGACTTCGTATACTTAAATACTTTTTTTTACTTAAATTAAATATGTTTTAGGTACACTTGCTTTAAGACTTTAATCAATTCATTTAAATATCTTTTAATTTTTTTTTAAAATGTTAATTCAACAAAGCTCAATTTTTACAAAAAATTGAATAAATAAAAATTGTAATCACCCGACTTTAAAGCATTTTGGCTTAAAATTGAAACATTTTGTTACTTGTTTAAAAATAAACCGTTTGATATATATATAAATGTGCAAAACTCTGTATAAGATTAAAATAATTTTAAAATGCATCTATAATGGTTGCCTATCCATTTAGTAAATATATATATTTTTAACTATGCAGTCCAGCTGTTATCGAGTCTATTAAATTATGTCGCGAATAGTGTGAATAACATTTTATTGGATAGCCCTTAAAAAAATATTATGACGTGATGTGAAAAAACGCCGAGACACGGGTATCATTTTTTTAACTCTATTTTTAGAATCTGTAGAAATTTTTCATGGGAGGGACCAAAAATCAAATTTTGTCGTACTGTGTAATAGATGACGATACTTACTAAAGATATTATCTCTGGCAATGACCAGATATTATTTTGTCACGCAGTGCTTACAGCTTGCCATGTTGCTATAATGTACAATAATTTCGTTAAGGCGCCTTGATGCGCGCGGGGCCTATAAAACGCGGGGCCGGGTGCAACCGCACCGTTTGCACATGCCTCACGCCGGCACTGCAACCAATACTTCAATTGGTTTCTACCCCAGATAACCAGCGTCCTTCCGTTTGCCGGTCAGTTGCCTACTATTCGTTCTCTTGATATGGTAGCCGTTTGCTGTCAAGTGGGTGCCACCATTTGACTGTCTGTAGACAAAAATCTTTTCTAACAATATATTGTGTGCAATCCACCGGCAACCGACGGGAAACCTTTTGCTTATAATTATTGTGGACAACATAAGAGTTTATAGGCGGAAATGTTTCCTGACAACTTATAGTGTGCAACCCACCGGCAACACACGGGAAACCTTTTGCGTATACTGATTGTGGGCAACGGATAGGAAATGATTTACCTATTCAAATTCACTGAATTTGGTGGCAATTTTTCGATAACGAATCAGAAATTAAAATAAATTAATAAATGAAGAGTTGAGAACAAGAGTGGCCTTACCCACAAACATTTATTCTAAAATGGGGTTATAATTTTAGGACAATATATATATATATATATATTTGGGTGCTTTTTTTAACAAAGTTTTTCATTTCCGAAAAATATATTGTCCTAAAATGATTGTAACATCATTTAAGAAAAAACATTTGTGGGTTAGGCCACTCTGGTTCCAAACGCTTCATTTACCTATTCATTTTAATTTCCGATACGTTATCGGCAAATTGCCACCAAATTCAGTAATGCCTCATTTATTGGTATTGTTATTTTAACAAATGGGTTAGGCATAAATTTTCATAATCGAACTTTTTCAAACGTCGTTTTATTACAAAAATACCTATATTCACAAAGAAATAAAATATTATAAATATTTATATACACAACAGAATAACCTTATAAGCCGATAATTTATATAATAATAAATAATAATAATAATAGTAAATGTTCTTTATTGAAAAAAATACATTTTTCAAAAGGCCATTGACTTTCGTCCTTCAGCCGGGAATAATAAATATATTTATTATTATATAAATTATCGGCTTCAAACAGGCGCAGCCTTATGGAAACTTCATTGTTTACGTTTGGATCTCGACGCTTAAGCCTGATTTATAGATTGCCTTTCTTCCTTCCTTCCTTCCGTAGAATATGAACAATACAAAAACCGTTGTGCTTTTTAAAGATTCCCATACGGGAATCTATAAATGGCACTACGTTTTTTGGTATTGTTCATCTTTTATGAGAGGAAGGAAGGAAGGAAGGAAGGAAGGAAATCTATAAATCAGGCTTTAGCGGTAATACGTTGACGCTGTTTTGCGGCAAAACTTTTGCCACTCGCCGTTACCTCTCTTTGAAGTTCAACACGCGTTGGTGGATCAAAGTTTTTATTGGTACCCACAGCTCCTGCAATAAATATATGTTTAGCAATAAACATATGTTTAGTTTGTATAAAACATTATTTAACATACCAAAAATAGCCCTAACAAGACCAGGGTTGTAAAGGGGATGATTGCCTTGCTCATCCCCCCCATGTATATTGCATATCTCGTCGGAGATAAACTTCCTGAACAGTTTATGAATGTGTAAAGGCCCCATAATCAATCTGAAAAATAAAAATAATTTATTAACGCTTGGCTTGACAATTTTTTCAGTCAGATTTTAATTAATAATTTGATAATTTTTTACACTATGGTAAATTTTGTCGTTTCTTGGGAAGCATTTGGTTCTATTAAAATATCCACTAAATGTGTTTATTCACGGCACTTTTTTGATTATCAAAAAATTAAAAAATGCCTAGCTGGTATTGTATACAAATATATTTAAGAGCGATAAAAATTGGTTCAAAAATGCAAATTTTACAAGGGCGGTAAGGTGTGCTTTATAAAAATTTGTTGTAGTATACTACAACAAATTTTTGTATACAAAAAAGATATTACATTAATTAATTAATTTAAAATTACCGCTATTATAATAGCTTCTGAAATTTTAAATAAATTAATGTTATTTGGATAAAAACCCTTATAAAATTATAATACTTCAAAGAAAAAACTACATCTTCAAAAAATCCTACATTTTTATAGCCTCTATTTAGGTACATGCTGAAAGAAGTTTTACTTCAATATAACAAATTATTTAAAAATTTACTTACGTCTTGGTTTCTTTTTTGTATTTTTTTTTATTTTCAAAGGATTTTTAGATTTTTCCATATGGATATAGGTACAGCTAAAGCTAATAGATAACTATTGCGTGCATAAAACATACCTGATAGATTTCTTGTTTATATTAATCAACACGTCGTACACACACTCGCAGAACAAACCAGAGATAAAGAAGGAACAAACCATAAATTATAAAGAACAAATGGTGAGCAACGGTAGCGGGGACTCTCGCGCAAGCGCGGTTCTTTATTGTGGGAAATATGTTGGCCGTCCGTTGCACCTCTGTTGCATACAATTGTTGACTGGAATCTATTGAAAATAAGCGGCTATCTTGGGCGGAAACAAATTTCTTGCAGTTTTCATGCAACTGACCAACAAGGTATTTTAGGAAATGTGTTGCCCGTCGGTGACACCTCTGTTGAATACAACTCTTAATCAGAAATTATTGGAAATACGTGTCAAACTTGGGCCTAAACATTTTTCTTGCAGTTTGAATGCAACTGACGGGAAATGTTTTGGACTTCCAACTTATTGGCTTACTGTTGCATGAAATATGCCGACAACGCGTTTCTTTAGATTTACTAAGAAACTTTGGTTATCTGGGACAGGAATTAATCGGTCATTTACAACAGGGAAGTCAAAAGAAATTACCAAAATTAGTAAGAATCGTTACTCTACTCTTAAAATGTAAAAATTGATTTATCGGTTTTTGCATGTTTTCTCCACAATTATCATATCTCATTTACCATATTCCATTCTATATTTTATTGCGTTTAACAGCTTAAAGTAGATAGATGAAGCTACAAATTTACAGCACTTTTAATTTTAAAATTTATTTTATTTGGTCAACACACCTTTATTTACAGCCGACGACAACGAAACCATCGGTCACGGCGACGACCTAAACTACCTTTTCGAAGCTAACGACATCTTCGGAAATCCCATAGAAAACAACGAAATCATGAACGAAGACGACCGGAAAGTGCGCGAAGTTTTTACGCAAATGATTGCTGATTTTGCGCGCACCGGTAAACCGATTATAAACAACAAAGAAGCGCCACCTTTTAGCGCTACGAAAAACAATTTTATCCAGATAAAACCGAAACCGCAGCTGTCGGATAGTTTTAGGTTCTGCCAGATGGCGCTGTGGTGCAACATTGCGGAAAGATTAAAAAGTAGCAGTTGCCAGTTTTTAAACGGGTTGGACACAACTGTTAAAGGCATACAGGAAGGATTTTTCGATACTATTAATACAACTGGGTCGAAATTAGGTTTAGAAGGGGCTGCCAATATAAGTCAGCAATATAATATATTAGACCCTAAAAATAAAGTCAATCAGAACATTAATATTTTCAATCCGAATCATAAGAATACTTCTACTGCTCAGCAAGCCGCTAATATAAGCCAGCAGTATAATATATTTGATCCAAAGAATAAAGTCAATGAAAATATAAATATATTCAACCCAAATCATAATAAAAATAAAAATGCCAATAATCCGCAAAAGCAATTTTTAGATAGCGTTAATATTTTTAGAACAAGGAATCAAAGGGCTAACCCTAAAAGTGAAAAAAAATTAATGGTTCTATTTAAATAAGTCTTTATTTTGTTTCCTTATTATAATTATCTTGTTTCCTTAATTTTCTTGTATACAAAATTCGTAAACCAAATACACCCTGTAGAAAAATGCAATATACCCATAAGTCTAAAGCAAGACTGCAACTGGATGTCTAAAAATAATAATAATAAAAATAATTACTTAATCAAAATGTGTATTATTTTAAAACTTACCAAAACATAGGAAAAATAAAAATGATTTACCACTTAATAGACTAATTAACATAAACTCTTTGGTCTGTTCTCCTCTATAAGTCAAGCCCAAAAGTGGCTTTCCTACAAAATCTAAAGCTGCTATACTAAAAACAACTTGTAAAGCTCCAAATTTTAGAAATGATTCGTAAGGTAAATCCGAAATAACTAAAAGAAAAATATTTCGACTTTTTACTTTCTATAGAAAGTGATCTCTATAGAAATTTCGGATTAGTTTAATGCTTAAGCATTAAACTAATCAGCAAGGCATTCTCCACTGCACATTAGGTACGATGCTCTGATTGAATTATTGCTTTCTATAAAGATTATTTTCCGTATAAGGTAAAGTCGCAAATTTAAAAAAGTATATATAGCTATAGCTACATACATAATCAACTATAAAAGTTCTACTTACAAAAATATCCGACAGATCCCATCCAACTAAGTACCCATAGACAAATTGGCCTCCTTTGTTTATTGACATTCACCCAATAGGAAATTCCAGAAAACAATAAGATTGCTATGGAAACAATCCCCATGAAGTCCATAATAGGCTGAAAGCTCTTTTGGCTCTCCAAATACAAATATGAAGGCATCAAAGTGAAAAAAACAAACTTTGAAAATTTGGTGGTCACCACCATCAGTAAGGATTTATAAAACGTTGGTTGTTTTAGTAGTTCCAAGTGAAAAATTTCAATTATGGATTTTGTAGGTTTGTTAGCTTTAAAAACTGATGGTTCTGGATTATCTGCTTCAACATCTTCAAAGGAATAGGTGATGTTATTATTTACAGGGGTGTCGGAAAATAATGGGGTTGGCATTATTGGCATGGTATTATTATTAGAGGTAGCTTCAGCTAGCTCATCTTTTAAAGATCTCGAGGTCATGCTTTCAGTATCTTCAAAGGTTTCCCATTGTTTCTTTTTTTCCAAATATTCTTCATTTTCATTGCTAGTTCCAGCCTCATTTAGAATCACTTTTTTTACTATTTCGTTGTGTTGCCTTATTTGCAATTCTTTTGAGTTTTTGGAGAATATGTCTTCTTCGTCTTCTTCCTTATCGGTCTAAAAGAAACATTATAAAAAGTATTTATTTTTATAACTTTGTTTAGGTCTAGCAATTTTGTGCATTAAACATTGGAATATCTTTTTTAATTGAATTCAATTAAAAAAGGACAACATTCGTGATATTGATACGAACATCATGTCGTGATTTTTTGACCGATAGCATAAAAAATCATGTCGTGATTTTTTATGCCAACGGTGTTTTGATAATTATCATTTTTGCGCCACGTTCGTACACTAAGAGAAATGTTATGTTGAATCAACAGGTAACAAACTAGGTTTTAAATTCGCAGTTCGCAGGGCTATTACGCATGCGCAAATTTTGCAAATATCACACTGTGAGTGCTACATGATATCACTGTGATGAAGCATGTGTATGCACTCAGGATATCACGGCGTGATAAAAAAAATCACGTTGTGATATCATCATGATTTCACCAGGAAATCCCGATTGTTGTCCGGGTACATGCATAGGTACATAATAAATATGTAGGTATTAATTTGAAAACTGAAAAATAGGTACCTAGGTAATTTATTTAATCACAATATACTTCAAACTTAATTATTTTTTATATAGGTAACTGTCATACAGTTTTTCCACCTAGAAACCATTTGTAATTCAAAATTGCGCGTTTGTGATTGGTGGAAATTAAGACGAGGGAAATAGTCACCTGTAAAAAGTTGTATGTTCTCCTCTTAGCCTTCAGGTAAGCAGGTTTCTTAAAAAATAACGCCACAACAAGACCCTGCAGCAAAACAGTTTGATACCACATAATAACATTGGACAAGTTGGTTTTTAACAAATTATCCCCTAAAATAATCGGAACCAAAATATAACCAATCGCCGTCACAGCATAAGAATAATGCAACAAAATCGAATGCTTCAGTTTAAAATATTGCGCCACCAGTATTTCGCACTGGGAAATTTGCAGAGAAGACCCAATTCCTAGAAAAGACATAAAAAAGTACTTATGGCCATTTTTTAAAATTTTACAAATCCTCAAAATAACTCGTATAAGAGTTAACAATCTATATTATTATTTTAACAATATTAAATTGCGCCAAATTAATTTTAGTCTGGTTTAAAAAAATTAGGTTAAAACAAATTCTGCTCAAATTAAGACTAAAAGAAAATAAAGTACAAAAAACATTGGGTACGAACCTGATATTGTACCGGAAATGGCGTAAATCCACCCCTGCTCGTGTCCGCTTAGTGCCATCCACATAAAAAGCAGCCCTGCGCAGGTTAAACAAGTGCCGGCTGTAGCAACAAGTCTTGGCCATGTGCTACTTTGAATAAGAGTTCTCACGAAGGGATCTGCAAGTGTAAGGACCAGTTTTCGGGAAAAAAAAGGTTCAGTTATTTCAAAGAGATACCTAGGTTGAATTTAGGGTAAGTGAGCAGTTTATTTTCTTTATTTACTTATATTATAATAATGTCATAAAGGGAGTTGATAAATAATGATATGCATGCAGATTTTTTGAAGAAAATGGCGGCTAATTGCAAGGACACCTAAATTTTTACTAATAATTAATTAAAATCTAGTGATCGAGATTGTATTGAGGAAAAATAAACATAACAAGTGAAAATATTTCTTACCGCTTATTGTCCAGCTTATTGCAAAAAATAAGGGGGCATATAAAAAATGGTCATCCCATATTTTCGGGTTAATATCGCCTTTTGTTACGTATTCAAGTTTAGTAAAGCATAAAAATACGCCTAGACCGACTGGGATACTATTAACTAGAAGCTGAAAAAAATAAAATAAAAACGTGATCTTTATTTTGACGATTGGTGAACGTTTATTTGTTATACTTTTCGTATACCTATGTAATAGTATGTATGTATTCGTATCAAATTTAGGTATGTTTATACATAATAATAATGAGGTAGGTATATACCTAATATATGTATACGTATATCAAATATTATATATATTATATTTATCGTTATTATAAACACTATTTAGAGGTAATAAACAATATATTCACTACAAATAAAAGTATTAGGTAAACAGTTTATTTGTCCCATTTTTTTCTCAGTGTACTATACTCTTTGATCAAATTGTTTATTTATATATGGTAAATATTTTATGTTATTAATTGAATACTAAGATAAAAATACACATTTAATATCCTATAGGTATTATACTATAATATTATAGTATAATACCTATAGCCTATATATAGGCTACCTATATATCCTATAGGTATTATACTATAATATTATAGTATAATACCTATAGCCTATATAGGCTATAGGTTATTAAATGTGTATTTTTATCTTAGTATTCAATTAATAACATAAAATATTTACCATATACATATAAATAAACAATTTGATCAAAGAGTAAGACTACAGAGGATTTCCTAACAAAAAACAACAAAATAAACAATTCCTTCATCAAGAAAAGGGTATTGGTAAATCGTTGTTATTGTTTTGTTTGATAAATTCATCTTTATTGTGTCATGTGTTTAAATAAATAAATATTAAATCTACCTACCTACATAGAAATGTATTGGCTTTAATAAAACTTTACCATGTCTTAATTAACGTTTCTTAATGGATTTTAATATATTTTTCATTATTTTGTAGCGTGGTCTTTCTATTTTCTACTAAAAACAATTGATAAGAGAACATATACAGGAAAAATAACAAGAGTACCGGACATTTTGTCAAACTTTGGTCGACAAAATGAGTTTTATATTAATTTTATTTATTTGTTAAAACCATTATATTGTAGAAATATTATGGGAAATTAACATACAGTGTCATTTTAGTACCTATTAGTATCTAATTTTTGATGCGCTAAATTCGAATTCGACCTCGGAATTGCTCAATCAAGTTAGGTTTTGGAGAAATTCTAAATTAAAATAGAACAACGCAATTTTTTTCAATAGAAATGGCGTTTTTTGATTTTTGGGTAAGAATTTCTTAAAAATCTAATGTGATATAACAATTCTGGATTCAGCAAGTCAAAATCATTTAGAAGAATGTTAGTTTTTGTAGAAAGATCAGGCTACAATGTAGCCATTACATAGGTAATGGTAAAAATCAAAGATTATATGGCAAAATTGTAGAGATACTAAGCTTTGTTTATTAAAAATAATAAACTTTTAATTAAAGATAAAAGTAGGTACTTGGAAAAACAGAGATCCGATAAAAACGACCCAGCCATATCCACCATCAGGTATGCTGGGTCCAAGTTCTGGCTGAGTGGACAAAACTCCATCGATAACCAAGTCTACGTCATTGTCTCGAACCCCACTACTCCTCCTGAGCTCCGGCATCTTTCGTTAAAACAACACTGGCATAATATTTAAAACATTGGTAGTAATTATTTTATTCACAACACAACAACTTATTATTAACTTTTGACGCCGCCTATATGCACAGCACAGGTGCTGTTTCACGGAAGACTATCTTATCATTTGTTTGCGCATTGATAATGAGAATATTTCGTTACGAAGTTTTTAAAACCTTGGTATTTAAATTCAACTTCGCTTTCTACATTCACTGTAGCATATGTGTTTTCGATAATTAACTCACTAATGCAATATGGATATTCATATCTTTTTAATAAGGAAATATACTGATCGACAAATTTTCGTTTTGATGTTGTTGACCCAGTATTTATATCAAACAATTAATACACTGCGTCATTATAATGGAATTATCGTTTAGATTTTAATTACTAAAGTGATTTACGACTTTCTAAAGCTATATACATAGTATGCTGTAGTTGCTTTATTCATTTTCTAAAAAGTAAAGTCGCAAATTTCAGGAGGTATTTTTTTATCGAAAAACAAGTTTTAAAATAAATTTATAATACACTTCTGGGTGATTCCATGATTACTAACGTGACAAAAAGAAACAAGACAAAATGTTTTATGAATATTTTTGAAGATATGTTGTTCCTATATACAATAATAACAATAATTTTATGATAGTTATTATTACTTAATTTTGTTGTAGAACTATCATAAAATTATTATCATAGAAACAAAATTTTCATAAAACATTTTATTCTCTTTCTGTTGGTCCCGTTGGTAATCATCGAATCGGCCTTCTGTAAAGTTATGTAAAAATTACAAAACCAGATAAAGATGTCATATGCCTGTGTCACAATAGTGTTGATGTTAATAATAATGTTAATGGTAATGTTAATGTTAATATCCAATGCATAGAAAAATGCGTGTATCCGTTCACAATGATGGTAGTACCATCATCCTAACGGATGCAAGTATTTTTCTATACTTAACATTACCATTAACATTAACATCAACACTATTGTGACACAGGCAATAAACACGTTTCGAAGTTTTGGTCAAAACCATTATAAAGATTTATCCAAAAACAATTTGGGTTTTCAAAACTATATAAATCCAAATAACACTATCACATTAACACTATTTTATGGAACGCCGTTTTACTATTTATTATACATTTATACCAATGTTTCATTTAAATGATAGATGAAAAAGAAAGAAATTCTATAATAGAAATGAAATGCATTTTGTTGGCCCAAATATCATTTTAACTTAAAATTTCTTTCCTATTTTTCTTATACAGTGTGACCCATTTGTTTGCGACTCACCCCTGTAAAATCTTTTTTTATTGTGCGATTTTAACCGGATTTGTTTTAAACTGTAGATCTTGATAAACTGTATTTTTGGAGCAAAAGTTTTTTTTGTTTTATTTTTTTTACCAAATTTAAAACTTCAAATAGCAATTTCTCCAAAACTAACTAACAGATTTTAAAAAAATTACAGAACCTTATTAAGAATAAAAGACCTTTAAAATGATATATCACTCAACCCCTCTTACAATTTAAAATTTAGGGGGCGGGCGGGGTGGAGCCTGTAGGGGTGCGGGTGGGGGCGTGAAACATACATCAAAATTCGTCCCCCTAAAAATAAAAATTGACGTGTCCAAGGAATTTTGTCCACACTCATCCGATAAAACGTTTGGGGGGGTACAAGTTTTCGTTGGAACACCCTGTATATATGCATTTGTTTGTTTGTAGGTCTGTGGGTGAAACAATTTCAATGACAATTGTAATAAACTTGTATTTGAATATAAAAGACACTCAAATTTTTAAGACATGTAATATACCTATCTACGGAATCATTTAAAACAAAATTGAATTTTTCTTACATGTGAATTTATCAAGTATCATTTAAATGGTACTTGCATTTTACTTTCATTTGAATTTAAATAGCACTTTAATTTTTATAATAGTTGGAAATGACAGATAAAAAAATATATATTTTTTCATTTTTATTTAAATGGAATCTGCATTTAACTACAAGTTGAATTTAAATGACATTTGAATTTAAACGACACTTGAATTCAAACGACACTTGAATTAAATCGTCACTTGAATTTAAACGAAACTTGCATTTAAACGACACTTGCATTTAAATGGTACTTGAATTTAAATGAAACTTGAATTTAAATGACCTGTCGATAGATGGCAGCTGCTTAGGTCAAAGAAATAGACATCTGGGTCATTTAAATTCAAGTTTCATTTAAATTCAAGTACCATTTAAATGCAAGTGTCGTTTAAATTCAAGTGTCGTTTGAATTCAAGTGTCAATTTAATTCAAGTGTCGTTTGAATTCAAATGTCATTTAAATTCAACTTTTAGTTAAATGCAGATTCCATTGAAATGAAAATGAAAAAATATATATATTTTATATCTATTAAATCCAACTATTGTAAAAATTAAAGTGCCATTTAAATTTAAATGAAAGTAAAATGCAAGTTTCATTCGAATAATACACAAGGTGCTTATCTACCAGATAAATTCAGATGTCATTTAAACTCATGTTTAAGAAAAATTCAACTATGTTTTAAATGATTCGCTAGATCTCTACATGTCTCAAAAATTCGAATATCATTTAAATCTAAATACAAAAAAAATAATTTGTTGTTGAAATGTGAACTTTTCTTACTATTTTAAAAATTTAATGTAATTTTGACTGACCCAACATTCATTTAAATGTTATATAGGGGCCAATATTCATTTAGAATAAACTATGTTTGAAATACAACTGCATAAGTTTATTTTTCATTAAAATCATGTTTAACTTTATTTGTCGTTATAAATGCACTGGAGAGAATAATCCAACCAGGGGCGTAGCTACCGCGGTATCAGCCGTATCAATGATACGGGGCCCCCGGCTAGGGGGGCCCCCGATTGGCATCGACATGCGTAAGCAAAAAATATATTACCCACAAAAAAATTGAGGCATGAAATTAAATAAATAAATAATATTATTATTATAAATAAATTATATTATTATTATTTAATTGTTTATACTTCGATCATTGACTAAGGAATCATCACTCAACGCTTCGATTTAGGTATTAAATTAAAATTTTCCTAAATACCCTCCTCTTCCAACGAGGCCGTAAACTCATACGAATTGTTTCTGCCCGCACCTTTCCGCTATGCGTTGTCTGCGGCTCAGTCTGCGAATATTGTTCTGTGCTCTGCCCGCATACTTAGTCTGCTTTTCGTGTTATTATCATAGATTATATTAATAGCAAATTAGAAATAATTATTAGCGTTACAATTATTTCAAATGACTTGCCTTTATTTTAAAATAGAAACCTTAAAGGATGTTGAAGAACGGGAAATGTCTAAAACCCGACCAAATTTTAAAATTTGCCTGTACATAAAAAGCTATGTATACATATATACTATATTATTTATAAAAAATTGGCGAATGCAAAAAAATTATAACCTAAAAAAATTTTTTTGTTGCCCAAAATAGACTTTGAGCGTGAAACCCAGAAATTTGTTTGCCAGCAGCTTTTCCAGTATATATAAGGGCCCCTACCCGATTTTTGATACGGGGCCCCCTCGAGGCTAGCTACGCCACTGAATCCAACTATCATATAAATACAACCATAACTTTAAAGTTAAATTTATCTGTTTGTATCTATGTATCATTTAAATGGTTTCCAGCTCGTATTAATCAGATGTAGGTCATTTTTATGACTTAAATTTACATTGGAGACTTCATAAGAGTAGGTATGATAAATTCAACTTTCGTCAAAATCCGTCTACTAATTCTTAAGTATAATTTAAAAGACACTTGGGTCAACGAAATTCATTTCATTTCTATTATCGAATGTCTGTTTTTTTATCTATCATTTAAATGAAACATTGGTATAAATGTATATTAAATAGTAAAACGACGTTCCATAGAATAATGAACCAACACATTGACCTACCTAATACCTATTCAGCAAAGCATGTTTGGTTTAAAATTAGGTACCTACCGCCCTAAGTTCCCAGAACCAAGCCAGCAGTACGTGACAAAAAAGAGCACTTAATAAACCCATAAATCTTAAATAGGTTACCACAAATTAATTGCCCAAATGCAATTTTCCACGAAATGGTGCATTCTAGGATAATATCTTTTATAGACCTTTAATAGACGAAAAGATTGTAATAAGTACAATTTTTTAAATATACGACTTTTGCGGAGTAAATGGCAAAAACCTTAAAAATTGGGGATTTTGTCGAAATTCAACCCCTTACAGGCACGTGAAGGGGTTGAGTTAGCCATTCAAATTTTTAGCCAACAAGATTTTGAGTTGGGAGCGAAAAAACAAAAATAGTCGTGAAAAAACACCCTAATGTATATAATAATAAATTTAAATGCAATTTCTTAATTGTTATAAAAGAACAGAAAACGTAAATACAATTTCTACTACTAAACGTAACGACAACAGAACGCTCAAGAATTATTAAAATAATTTTAAATAATAAATAAACCAGCAACAACTATCGATAATTATCTATAGTCACATTTTCGACCATCGAAAACATTTTCGATAGTGCGCGACTGAAGTCAAGAAATGGTTTTCGCCCAGTGGGGCAAACAATTTGTGCACAGCGATTCTGGATTCTCAGCATAGACTCCAACCAACCCCATTCATAAACCCCGATTGAATGGGGTTATAACTAAATCCCTGTTCATATAGGTATAAAAAGAAATAGATTGAGGCAGTACTTTACTTTAATTACATTTGAAATTTAATTACAACATTTATTTATAAATTCATTAAAATAGTTCTTTTCTTAAATCTTTTAATTGCCTTTCCAGCTAAACAATTGTATTATTTAACTTAACTTTTTGTGGGATTTCTTAAAAATAAAAGTGTTTGAGTTGCCACAGGTGATTTTAAAGGTTTTTGGACGTCTTCTTGCTCTGAAGGCAGTTTCGGCTGGTGGATTTTGAGTATACCAATATCTTGGACATTAGACATGGGACCCACACCGAATTTATAATAGTTTATAATGACATTAAATAGGCAAGTTCGGCGCAAATATAATTTAAATTGAAGTTTGCGAAAAAAAGTTAGTTTTTCGTATCGCCTCACCCGCCTCCTGGCCCCCTATTTGAGTTAATTCAATTTAAAGTGGTGCAATTTATAATCTACTATAATTTATCAGCAAATTTAAA